ACGCGTGAAACAAAAGTTGTTATAGTCTTTGAGAGTGAATTGATAAAGCATAGAGTCCGAGACATTAATTTCCGTAAGTATAAATGCATCGACATGAAACATAATATTTTGTACCATTATAAGAAAATGATCCCAATATTTTCGAAGGCTCCGGATATTAACATGCAAACAATTAAAAGTCGCACCTTTTGGTTTATCTATCAAGGTTTGAAAAGACGAAAAAATATTACATTGGGAAAAGGTGGCTCTCATAGCTTAAACGATTTTTGCAATATCTGCTACGGAGTTGATCCGTAGGAGAGGCGAGCCTTCATTCTTTTTTGCATAGATGTTTGCATGTTTTACCCAGATATACTTGTAATGACTTTCTTTTCCCTTGTTCCTCGCTATCCAGAAAAGCTCACGGTTGGAACGAGTGAGATTGTCATTAAAGAATAGCTTGGGCTGACTGCCAACGTTGCTGAGCTCTCTTAGTCGTCCATGGCATCTCATCCATTGCTCCTTGAGGGCAACGGACGCAAACCTGACCAGTATCAATGGAGCATTGTTTGGTTTGTTTGCCTTCTTCGGAGGTAGACGGTGGACGGACAGAACATCCGATGGCGTAAACTGTGACAGGCCGATGTTAGAGGCTAAGGCACGGAGAACCATGTTCAGGTTTTCTTTTGGCGTGGAAGGCATGCCCTGAATTTCCATGTTAGGTAGGCGATGTTGTTGCTCGGCGTCATTCAGTTCTGCTTGAAGCAGGTGAATAGCATTTGCCTGCTCCTTTACTGTGTTTTGGAGTGACTGGACTTCCGCCCCAAGGTCTTTGGTTACTTTTTTTTTGCTCAGTGATTTCAGTGAGAACCGAGTCGTACTGAGCACTCAGGAAAACAACGGAATCCTGGACCTCTTGGATGGTTGTCCGCGGCAACTCAGCGGTGGGTTTTAAGGCCAACAAGGCATCGACGTTCGCTGGAAGTGTGAGAAGCGAATCAACGCTCTGTTTTAACGACAGCAGCACGTCTAGCTTTTCGTTGACGGATGTTAGCTGGGCGGAGAAAGGGTGAGGTTCATCCTGAGATGTAGCCTCCACGTTTCCAGCGCCCGTGCAATTGTCCCTGCTGCGACAGGTCTTGCAGCGCCACTTTTCTCGTTTGGCTGCTCCCATCGTCATAAAGGTAGCCTCGGCGATCCCGGCACATTGGCCCAAGTGAAGAGAACTATTGCACTCCATGCACTTCATACATCTACCATCCGTCGGCACACACACGCCACACACGCCGCAGGCAGGAGGTTGGGACATAATGAAGAACGGGATACCCAGTTGACAAGAGACAGCGAAGAGGACGAAGATGCAAAGGTTGGAATATGAAAGTACGGGCTCACCGGAAGAAACCTGAAGGCACACAACTACGCATGCAGAGACCACAACACAAAGATTGATGAAGGCGCCGATGATGATGCGTAGAAGTCTGGTTGAAGATGAATTCAGCGGAGAGGCGTATGTGCTTTAGTCCGCAAGTGGTCTCGCCAGGATGAGACCGACCATCGGCAGAATAACGGTGGACTTGCAGTCGACTGAGTAGTCACCCCAGACGATCTCCCCACCTGGTGTAGATGGAAGATTGTCGCCAGGAGCCTCAATTCGAAGAAGCCATAGAGAGACGAGGCAAATATTTCACAGCGGTGAAATGGCCTTCCGAACCATGAGACTTCTTCCTCTTAATATTATTAATAATATTAATAATAATAATAATAATAATACTTAAGTTGTGTGGCAGTATTATGAATGTTGGAGCAGTCGATGATAAAAGAGAAGCCGCTGGGCAATTAGCTCCAAGGGAGCAGTCTGACTGTCCTTCCAATGCTTCTTCGCTGAAATCGAATTGCTCCCAACAGAAGCGAAAGGGCGACAAAACGGCAGCGTTGAGGAAAAGCAACAACTCCGCAAAAGAATGCAAAAATTGGGCGGATGTCACAATTCACTTCCTGCTTTCCTTCTTTTAGTTTTATTTATTTTTTTTTTTTTTTGCACATGGCGTTTTTGGTGATCTCATTTCCACGTTAGCTGCGCGCGCTTTTTAATTCGCCACGGCCCTGCATGGAGGTGGTTCCTGAGCAGAGTGCGTAATATCTAGGTAGCAAAAATGTCAAAGTTGTTACAAGAACAATTTATGCCTATTTTAACTGTTTTTTTTTCTTTTTTACAAAAGTAATTGATTATATACTTGGGTCTTGAGGCACATGCAGTCGGATTGTTACGGATATTTTATTCGAAAAACGATAACATTTACCTAGAAAAGTCAAGAAACAAAAGTGTACACAATCTAATACACTTTGCTTGTCGCGCTAATGTCGTAGGAATATAATATATAGCTATGTTATGAGAAGAGCAGCACATAAACCTTGACTTTCGAGCTGTTCATCTCCCCCGAGTAAAAAAAAACATTCATCTCAGCTATGTCAAAATAAATGTTATTTATTGGATAATTAACACATCGCAAAAAGAAACCAAAACAAATATATTTTATTGAACTTCTCTTTGGCTGCTAAAATTGATCGCTAAGTTATCGAGCCACGCTCTTATCAGCATAGCGAGGCTGTCCTTTATTCTGTAGGCAATTTTGCCCCTCTGGGTATATTTCTCGAAGGCGAGATGAATTACTTAAACAAAAACTGAATATGATCAAGATTTTGATTTGGGCCTCATTGAAAGTGACCACGAATATAGCTCCCTTATTAAACGTACGATTATCTCTGCAGGTGTTTTTATCTGAACCAATAAAACACAACTTTAGAAAGAATAAAAACGGATAGTGAGGGATTGTGGTGAAAATAGTTTGTATTTTATTCTCAAAATGCATTTCATTAGTTTCAGTTTACTTACAGTAGATTGGGCCCTGTGTAGCTATCACCACCTGCTAAGTAGAAACACACTTTTAGTTTTACTCCTAATATTCTTTTTTTGTATATATTTTCTACAGCTTTGTTTATTGAAAGTACAGAAAATATTATACACTAGCTTCTCAAGAGGGTGCTAAGCTTCTCTTATTTTGCCCCAACCTAGTCGTGCTGTAGGGACAATGACAATACACATAATGTAGCTCCTCTTCGATTTCGTTTAAAGTTCGGCCTTAAAAGTGTTGTTGAGACTTATCAAAGCTATGATTGCACAACTAGAACTGCTAGCAATTTAATATTGATGCGTTTTAATTTAGCATAAAAAGGTGCCTAGGTATTTATTTTAAAGCAGGAACGTCACATGGTGCGTGATTCGTTAATTGTTTGTAAGACAATCAGATTCCCAATATGCCCATGTTATCGCAATAATATGAGTGACAAGACACTGTAAGGTTGTTGCACTAAAATAGGTGCATTTGCTTCTTGGTAAGATTGTCTCCACGAGATAAGGTTCTCACCATTTCGGACAGAACTATCCGGTGGAGCCATTGAGAAAAGTTATTCATATCTAAGCTTTACAGGCTAACATTAAATGTTACACGCAGAAAACTTTTTGTCTACGTTAGTTTGTGTAAATTCAAAACATGTTGTTTTTTTTTTCATAACGTCTATACGGACTACCAATCGCGAGAACTTGTATAATGCTTGATTGTGAAGCTACCGCGGTTGTGATCATACGCCAAAGTGTGGTAAAGTGCAGGAGCCTAGCGTTGTTTTCTTTTCCGACGATGTTTTCTTTTCCGAGCAGTGTTTTCTTTTCCTAACCATGTTTTTCTTTCTGAGGTGACAACCAATCTTTTAGAAACTTGGTAAGTATCCAATTTTGGTTCAGAAGGCTGAGGACAAAAGCTACAAGACAAAACAATGTTCTTTTAATTTTGCTTTTATACACCAAATAAGATGCTTCCTGCGTTCCCTTCTTTTCCTTTTGCAGCGTTAAAGTATATATTTAATCCGATTAGCGAGCAACATTATTCTGGGAATGAGCGGCCACTGATGGCAGCAGGTACTGTCTTTCTTTATGCAATAGGAAATCCCCTAGATTCTAGTATATCATCCATAGTTTACAGCAACCCGCTATAAGGTTTATAATGAAAGTGCATTAACTTCCGGAACCGCGTCATGATATCCTAACCTCTAACGTTACTACATTTTGTGGAGGCGGGAGTACCCTGCGATGCCTAGGTTATTCACGCTCTAGTAAAAGCACATATCGCTTTTCTCGCTAACGTGCGTATTTCCCAGATCAACAGTCGTATGCCCAGAAGCCCCGGGGCCCTCACGATATCACGGGGAAGCTCAAGTTAGTGTGCACATTCCTATGGACCAGAGGTGCTCCATCTTCGGTGATATTAGCCTAGCATCACTGAACGCCCGGGCAAACAACTGTCAGCAGCGCAAACAACTTTTCCGCAGCGCAAACCTCTCAGTCGGTCATTTGATTGGCTCGGACGGTGCCGTGCGTCACGTCGCATACTCGGTTGGTTTTCTCGAAGACCCGTTAAAAGGCCGCAGGCACAACTTCCGTCCATTTATTTCTGCTGATAGTCGATTCATCGCTCTGCCCATTCGCATGCTTTTTGGCAGGAATATCTTCTTGCGCGCAAGTTCACGAAATTGGCCTTCAGAAGACAGGAAAGTCGAGGAGAAATTTTACACGTTTACACTGCTTACAAAAATCACAGTTCAGCAAGCGCTCGCATCCGATCTCAGCCAGCCAGAAAGTGCGCGTGCATAACACGCAAACACAGCAATAAACGCACCTTCACACACTTTTATAAGAAGTTGTATATATATTGATTGCTCTTAAAAAAAAGAAGAGTATTTTTAAACGATACTTTTCTCAGTAAGTGTTCTTCCAAGCATGCAGTCGACATGTGTTATTTTCTCCTTGCTGCTACAGATCTTTCCGATACGCGGGATTCCCTGACCAGCCACCGTAGCTTTCATGAGGTTTCTTTGAACCATTCAAATGTCAGTTCGGTCTTTGGACCAGACGTGAATACGTGCCACCTGGTAGGTGCGGTATCTCGGCGGACCTTTACGAACATAAAATGCAAAATAAGAATAACATCAACCACCGGTACAAAGTGCCGTGCATTTTCGCCATATATTTGATTTTACGTCATCCCTCCATCTATTTCTTTATTTTGTCGCGGGATTCCATTCTCAATGTTTACAATGATGAAAAGGCCCACGTTTCTCATGTGTTGAGCGTCAATCGGAGACTCCGGCCTTCTGTTCGACTTGGGCGTCGCTTTGCCTCGAAGAACACCGCACTACGTCACAAACCCCAGCGGCTGCGGCAGCGAAGAGTGCGGCGGCGCTGGTGGCGCGATCGAAGCGTCGGCGGCGCTCCACGGGTTTGCTCGGAGCGCGACTCGAGCCCGCTAGTGTTTGGAGTGCCTGCCTCCGGAGTGGGCTGCCCGCGCTGGTTCTGCGCCGCCGCCGCCTCGTTTCGCTCCCCCGTCGGATCTCTGGGCGGAGAATCTAACAGGTTGGTGCCTCGGACCGTCGCCACTCTCGACGCCGCGTGCGTGCGTCTCGTCGCGTACCTTCTGGGAATGACGGGGGGAGAATGACAGTCTCACTTTCCCTCCTTTGCCGCGCAAGCTGTTCTCTTAAAAGAAGAAAAAAAAAGAAACTTGGCTAATTTAGTTTGAGAGAGTGACACAATGTGCTGCCATAGTGTGGCGTTAAGGTGCACGCGCGCTAGACCCATTTATGGCGGTTCCATACGTGAGATACTCCTTTTCTGAATTAAAAAACACACACAAAAAAAACTTTGTAAAATCAAACTTTTTTTTTTTTGTATAGTTTCCGACAGTTTAAGAAAGGCAGGATGGGGCGACTCCCTTGCATGTCATTATCGCTCGGTTGTCAATGATATTGTGGCATTCCCCGACAAGAAGGCCCCCGAAGGACGAATCGCGAAGGGACATCAATATAATAAGTTGAGCCATACTGCGCTAATCAAGCTTCCAGAGAGTGTGGTATCGACGCTCGACTTGCCTTACTAACAGTATTAGCGCTAAGGTTTTGCGTTGTCTGTATTACTTGCTTTTAGCGCGAAAATATTTGCACATAGTATAATTATATCCTTTAGAAAACGTGTATAATAACATAATCATCGGGAGATCTCTATTATCGCATCAGTTTAGATTTCGAAGAATGCGCTCTGCTTGTGTTGAGACTCGCCTTGCGGCATTGTGTTGCTGACAAAACGTCGCGATATGTCTTAAGGTTTTGCTTTGAAAATGTGGTATCTTAAGATCTCGTTTCTGAACTGTTGTTGGTGTGTGACCCCTCGCGCAAACAAATGTTCATACTTTCGCCTGATAGGAATCCGAACCATTTTGAAAGTGAGTTTGTTTCTGGAATGCATGTAACTTTAATCAACACGGCTAGGGATATTGACAGTTGTGCTTAATTTTACTTTGATGCTCGGAAGTGTGAGCCTATCAATAAATACCAAATTTGCTTGAACTCCGTGCTGCTCTGAAACGAAATGAGGCAGTACGTATAGGCTGATATTTTAGTAAAAGTAGCAAAATAATAGGGAGGCGCGTCAAGATTGATTGACAATAAACATAAGTTCTCTACGCCCGCAGAAAAATATTGAGAATCACGTGTGTTGCGATCTCGGATATCCAACTCCAAGCATAAACTGCCCTAACCCTCCCAACTGAACACCACTAGAGCCAGGGAAAAGCAGCTGGCATTATAAGTTACCGTAACGTCCATTGCTTACGCCAAATGGTCCACAGAAAAGCTGACGATTAATTTCGTAACAATAATATCTATGAATTATACATGAACTTTGACCAATTGGGAGCGCACAGCTGTTAAATATTTTCCTTGGATTTTTATTTATTTTTTTCTATTCCGGATGTTTTTTGTGAGGTAATGAAGATATCGTCTCATTTCAGCGAGACTTGGAATAACAAGATTTATTTTATGAAAAACTCCCGTACTTTAAAGATTACATTTTAAAGCATAAGGAAACATAAGATTTATGTAAAACAGTGAAGCCGCAAAAATAATTTACTTTCTTCTAAAAAAAAAAGAGTTCATTAGTAAGCGTTACTTCCGATAACGAAGAGTCTAAGTAAATTACACGGAATCTAATTAAAACGTATGTACGAAATTATTTGCAAATTAGCTTTAATTTACCAGTATGCTTTCTATATATGGTGCGTTTACACGGGCAGATTCGCGGGCGAATACGCGCCTGCGACGAGTGGAGTTTGCAGCTGGGTGGCAAAATGGACTCATCGCTGGAGAAAAAAAAATTGGAAATAAGTCCCGGATAAATCCAGACTGTCCGCCAGTGACGAGCTGATTTTGCCACTTGACTCCAAAATCCGCTCGCCACCTGCGCATATCCACTCGGCAATTCGCAGGCTGTGTAAACGCACCCTTAGCGTTCCGGTTCCGAAACCCTCACATCTCAACGTGTTACCCACGCATTGGGACACGTGCATTGCGTTATCGCTCGTCTTGCACTCATAAGATACTCAAACAACACGTCGGCGGATATGTGAGTTTTAGATTCATGACCAATTAGTGCAGTGACGTAAATTGTCCAGCTCAGTCCTGACGCACAACGAGCGCTTTGAGGATCATCAACCCACGCTCGCGGGTTTGATGAACATTGGCATGCGCCCGGTGACAGAACCTAGACTGATTGCTCTGTGGGTCGTTCACGAGCTGGAGTCGTTTTAATGCCACTCAATTGGGGCAATGGTTTATGTCGCTTGGAGCGAATATCTAACACCATGGCCACTGAAGCTTCAAAAGCGCAGGGTTTGACTTAAAGGGATTGTCCGGTAAAATTTCTTAGTCAAGAAAACATTTAGACCTATTTGTTAATGGTTGTAGGAGCACCTTCCACGGCAAATACGAAGTTTGTGTGCTTCCCTGGACGAGCAATTATATTTTAAACAAAGTGTGCGTAAACGGCGTTTTCCTCTTCCAGTTTCAGAGCAACGGAGGCTCTGACCTAACATAACGCAAAGAACACGCCGAACTGAAGCGCCCTTCAAATTTGGTCCTCCGCGTGAGCGTTACGTGTAATTCACCCTGGTTGCTGTGCTAAAAGCTTTTCTTTCTTTTTTTTTTTTGTGCATGAAAGTGATTTTTGTTGTGCGGTTGTCGTGCTTTACACTTCACCGCAAGATTTACAGTGGCGAGTAAAATGGAACGCTGCGCTGGCGTCGGGAGCTCTGTGTTCCCACGTAGAAATGAGGCATAGGAACTGAATTGCGATCCTGGTGTGACGTCGCATCAGGCGTGGGAGCACAGCCATGGATAAGTTTGCAAAATTCGTTCTGGAGTTTGGTATCCTTCATTGATTACACTAAATTGGGTTGTAGCTAAATGGCATAAAGACGAAGGCCTAAGTTAATCATCAGGCTCCCGCCAGGTATTCATCACAAGATCTTTAGAACTCCCGTTTCCACCGGACACTTCCTCTAATGTGTTCACGCTTCTTGCTTCGTGATTGGTTCTTCGACAGTCTTAATAGCAAATACCCCATCCTGATTCGCTGAGCTTCAATAATGAATTTCTTAGGACTTGCCACACCCTGCCTTTTTTAAGCGTTCGGTGACAATACACGTATATTTTTAATTTTTTTCTTTTGGAATTGAGTGCATATAGTATCGATTAGAGCAATTAAATGGTTTCGTGGTTTTGAAGACACGGAGAAATATGAAAGTATTATATACGGGCGCAACGTTTTTAAAAACGTTCTTATGTTATTTCTTGAGCGTCAAATACTCGACCGATTAAATGCCAAAATCACCTACAAATAGTTTTTTTGCGTATTTTTAAGATTAAGCGGGTACGATGTATTTTAGAAAAACATTGAATGGTAGCTTAGAGGGGATTCTCATACAAACGTCATTTCGTTATTTCTTAAGAGATTCAAAAAGAGAAGTGAACAAAAAAAGAAAAAAGTGAGCATCCTCTTTATCTTATTTTTTGAGGCGTGTTAGTGCGGTCCAGAGACACGTTTGTTTCGTGATACGCAGTATGCAGGAGAGTACAAATTTAGACGAACAACCTAAGCAGAACTTTTTGTTCGATATGTTCCGACATGAGCAGAATAGTTATATTTTTTGGGGCACTCACGTTAGTAAAATTCTAACATATTTGACGCATTTCGAAATAGGTGAAAATTTTCTAACTTTCTACATGCAAGTCTAAACGTCTACATTATAAACGAATATGTTATGTCTGATAGCGGGAGGGCGCACTGGGAGTTCCCCGGACTTCCTTCCCTCAACGGCGACACACACCTCAATGAACGGAAGACCTTGACTTCGCGGCTCCGAGAATTTATCGAGGCAGCCTTACGGTGCATGGCAAGTTCTCTTTAAACTGCTCTCGTCCGTCTTACGTAATCCTCCTTGATTCTGAAACGCCATGTCTCTCCCAGGGTATTCCTAAAGGTTGATTTAAGCTTCGCGAATAATTGACTCCGAGCAGAAGTTTAGGGGCTGCGTGAAATGCCGCCGATTATTTTAACATCTGGAAACGCCAATTATATTTAGATGGAAAATCTGTCGCTGTCGTTTTAGTTCTATGCACCGCCAGCAGATGGCTCGAAACAGACATTCTACTAACGGAGGTATGGCACGCCAGAGAAACGCTTAAATGGACCTTTTCCACATACTGACGGCGCCAGGTGGTGGCTGCGCGAACTAAAAGTCGAGGAAGTGACCTACCTGCGCTACCAATCGGTAATGGGAGCTACGCTACCAGTTTCTTCGCTCTCTGAGCTGCGTCGCAAGCCCAACGCGACTGTAAAGAGGGGTATCCGTGGCGTCCACCCAAACGTCGTGTTTTTCTTTTCGTCCACTTTCTTTTTTCGTGTAACACAATTATATATATGCTGCAATTACGTGTTATACTTGCTGATCCACAGCCTCTTTCAGAATTTCCTCGATTTTTCGTGCCTACTTCCGCCGCTTGGCATCGGGCGTTCGCGCGTTCGCGCGTGCGCAGGGCGCTTCTTGGAAAAGGTCCATTGGCACATGGCTTGGCAATTCTATGGGCCTAATCCGGTTATGTTCTAAGGCGTTAGTTAGTGCCAGAGTACAAATTTTTTCTTTGGTGCTGATTCGGCTTTCTTTTTCTTTCGCTCACCAGATAATTGCTAAAGTACCAGACTTGAGCCAAACATGCCACGTAAGAACAGCGGAACCAGCAGAATCTGGCACTTTGTTTAGGAATTTAGGCCTAAATTGGAAAAACAAAAATCGGAAAATGATGCCTAACTTCGGCACTTGTTTGGCAAATTGGTGTCAATATACCAATGCTCTGAGATCAAGTTTAGCTCTTCCATGGCTTCTTAAGGTTTATTAAGGCTCCAAGTTTCTAGACAAAAACCACATTTTGTCTCCAAAAAAACTGCGCCCTACTCGAGTTTTCCATTCCATCGCTTCTTTTCAACACTTCATTCATTATCTCCTCTTTCTCGTCCTATTTGAC